ATCACTAACATGTACATACAAATCTAGACTTAGCTCTTCTACCAACATAGCTATCCATCTCCTACTGGCTCCCCTTTCCTCCAGTGGTTTCTTCTCTGGTATTCTCCCACACAGTTCATGCCAAGGGGTGAACATACTAAAGGCACCTCTTCCTCAGACTGATCTTCCTCTGAGGCAGAAAAAATGGGGGTGGTGGACCAAGTCACACAGGTCACATAAGATCCTGGACTATAACTCTGACCATTAAAAGTCTGAATTTACAAAGAGATGAGACAAGAGATGTAATAATTCTGTTAATTCGGACTAAAAACCCACTTTCACCTGTAACACCAATTAATGAGAGCAAAAGTTCTTTTTTCGGTCTGAAGCATACACTTCAATTTGTACAGAAAAACAGCTTTAGTCTAATTTCCAACTGATAAACCTTTATTGTCACCAGAAAATAAGTGAAGAGACAAGAGTAAAAGCAATGCATGATAGTTTAGTGATCTACAAAGAATTTACAACAAAATATAGCTGAGGTTGAATAAATAGGCATTGCCTTGAAACAAGTAATGAAAGGATTATTATGGAAACACTTAAAAACAAAGAATCCACATAGAAGGAGAAAAAGCTTAACATATACACTCACAGAAAAATATTCAGCTTGAAAAATAACTGTGTACAGGGTGGGGCAAAAGTAGATTTACTGTTGTGAGTATGCAAAACAGTTTATTCTTGAATTATTTATTAATTATTGTTATTTTCCCTACAAACTGTAAACCTACTATTGCCCCACTCTATATATTAATTTTTTAAAGCACACAATTCATATTTATCCTAGCAAAAATTGCAAAAACTATAGAGTTCAATATTAGAGGATTGTATGGAAACATACTCAAACAGTGCAGGTGGCATGTTAAAATGGTAGTGTTCCTGGAGATAAATTTGGTAATGTATAAGTCACTAAAAATGATCATACTATTGGATGACCATACAGCATTTTGGGGAAGATATGCCAATGAAAAAATATATAATACCACTAAGAGGTAAGAAAGTTACTAATGCTATATTTTACAAATAGAACAAGGCAAATCCCTCACAGACCTGACTTGAGGAGGTTACTGTGTTCAGGAGGACGATTTAGATACATATAAAGGATTTATGAAGTAATAAAACATACAAAATAATACCAAGTTGGGAGAGGCCATAAGGGTAATCAATAGCTGGTGATAGTGAATTTTGCTCTTTATATTCAAGCTGGTCTTGATTTTGTTGCCTATTTTTTGCTCGAAGGTAATAGAACTGTCAGATATTTGAAGGGAGGTGGATAATTAGACTAATTTCTCAACTTCAAATTCGTACTGAGATTTAGGCAATTTGTCCTTCACAGCTCTGAATCATCAACCTCATTCCAGCCACTCAGATGAAAACTGACAGTGATGTGAGGAAACAATCACTCCTTCATGAGCTGGCACCTCAAGCGATTGGGAAACAATTGGCAGCAGGTGGGAATGTCCTTGCGGCCACCACTTGTAGCCAAATAACTTTTACCTCTCAGCCCTCGGCAGGAGTGATGGACAGGAGAAAGGAGAAGGTCCCATCACTTCAGAATAGACTTCCTTGGTTTTCATCTATGTCTTTCATGGGATGGATGAGAGAAATGGGTTTATTTTGTGTGTGTTTTTAATATATTTTATTGATTTTCCACAGAAAGGAAAAGAGAAGGATGTTAGAAACATCGATGAGAGAGAATCATTGATCAGCTGCCTCTTGCACACCCCCTACTGGAGATGTGCCCACAACCAAGGTACATGCCCTTATCGGAATCGAACCCAGGACCTTTCAGTCCGCAGGCCGATGCTCTATCCACTGAGCCAAACCGGTTTTGGCGAGAGAAATGGTTTTAAACGCTCACTCTAGAAGGCTGTGAGAAGCCCCCACCCAGAAAAGAGAAGTGGGAACCTATTTGGAGGCTTTATAGAGCTTTGGACTTTCTACTCTACCACTAAGCATGAGAGTGGATCATGGTCTGTTTCTTGCCATTTTAAGCTCCCAAATCTGGGGCTTACTGTTGGGCATACGGAGTCACTGGATAGCCAAGTGACAAGCAGATGTCAACAACCCTAGAACACACACCATTCTGGTTTCTTATCACCAAATAAGTTGATTCTTGGGCTCCTACAATGCTTTCTCCTTTAGGTCCATATTTACATTCACCACCAGTGTTGAAAAACTTCAGATACAGGCCTGCAAATAACAGGCTTAGGAATGAACTTGGCTACTGGAGATAGAGAAAACAAGATCAATAAAGCCAATAGCATGTGGTCTAGTGTCCACAAAACTTTTAAAAAAGGGGGAAAAGCTCAACACTTTAAAAGGAGAATTTTATTCATTTTATTTGACACCTAAAGGTAAAGCACTTTAATTACCTGAATCTTTTACATTGTTTAAATTTATATTTTATGAGCTATTCTGACATCTGCTCTGTTTAATAATCTGTAGCATCAAGAAAACATTTTAAAGTGTCTTTCACAATTAAACCTATCCACAACCTTGCATAAATCAAAATTTTGCTACCATATCAAAATGTTACACTGGGGCTGTATAACACTACCCACATCCTCATTACATGCAACACTAATTACTACCAGCAGATTCAGAATTTTCTGCACATTAGAGGCTTTTAGAGGAGCTATAAAAAATTTCAGGCACCATTAATTTAAATTTGTATTGAAATTTCCTTTTGACAGATGGCCAAAAATTACTTATTATTTAGAGTACCAGAGCTGCCTGTTTGCACATTAGAAGAGGAAAGGGAAAAATTAAAAGCAAGAAGGAAATTTATGTCACATTCATTACCTGTTAAATGTTAAGGAGCATTATCCTGCATGAATAAATTATTCCATACAAGCCTGACTACAGCTGCAGGCAAGTGGCATGCTCTGGCTGATAAAAACCATCTTAAGTCACACTGCAGACAATCATAAAAAGCCGCTCTTAACCAGGAACCACTTACAGGATGAGAACGATGGATGAAAAAAGCTACTAACTGCTTCTCTGAGTGTCACAGAACACAGTTACGAAAGTTAGCAAACTATTTCACCTTGCAAAGCCATAGGACAGCTCCAAAGGTGACTCGATGACTTCAAATTTTGGAATGATTACCCCCTGCTCCAATCTATTTGTGGCTACCATTCCATAACAAATCAAGAAAAATCATCCACCTCTATTTCCTTTTTGTTTTCCCCCTGGTTTCTAGCCATTTAGAAACTCACTCTCAGACTCATACTGAGTGATTATAGATGATTTCAAAATGCACCCTATTTTACTGTGAGGGAATATCAAATGTAATTAACACAAAAGTTTGCAATGAAGTGTAAATATTTTCACAGTCTTCTGGGAGTGGGGCAGGAGAGAAGGTTTTTGTTTAGTTCACTGGCCTGACTAAAGGTATGTATTTATCATAAAAAGGCAGGAACTGTTTATATTACAGCCTCAGAATAACTAGACAGGCTTTCAAATGGCTGCTACCAGCTAATCCTGGTCAGTGTATTTACTCACTACTGCCTAAGCACACATGGGTGGAACATTTACTATAGGCTAAGAATGCTTTTTAATCTATGTATTGATATGCATATTATATAACAAAATACAACTGTAAATGCATTAATTAAATAATTCAGTGTGTGTTCTAATTGTAAATGTTGACATTTCTATGGGTGGGCAGATGCCCTTTCAAATTACAAAGATTCTTGAAGGGTAAAAGTTATTAATTTTTATTTTCCATTATTTAAGGCCTTTGGTAAAAACCCTATTTCCCTTTGATTGAATAAGGACAGAAATAAAGAGGCATTCCAAGTGACAGCACAAGTGGCTCCAAAGGAAGATTTCATTCTTCATACATAACTTCACTAAAAACTGCAAGAGATCTCACTGCCTATGCTCCTAAATATTCGACTGTGAAATGCAAAGTAACTGACAGCATCTGTACTTTGGCCATCGCTTGAGAACTGACCTGTCCTTCCTAATTTACACAAAACACAATGGCATACACAATACAATTATACATAATCAGTACCATATTTACATTGTGCCTGGCTCAAAAGTGATCAAGCAAATTTCATCCTATTTTACTCATTTCCTGCCATGGTAGCCTGTTTTTCTTATTTGCTTACTATATAAAATCAGGGATCTTTAGCATATCCTATTCTGGTATTACACAAGCATATCCAAATCATTAGGTCCTTGATACTCTTCATCTTTCCTTAAAACTTGTTTTCAGAGATACAGAAGGCAAATAAGACAGATACAAAACTTAAGGAGAATAACTTGCTATACTGGAAACCAAGATGTTAATGAATTAAAAAACAAACAAACAAACAAAAAAAAAAAACTAGAGGCCCAGTGCACAAAATTCGTGTTAAGGGGTTCAGCCCTCGCAGCCATGGAGGCTTACCTCAGCCCTTTCAGCCACATTTAGAGAATGATTTAGTGGGTCTTACCAAATAGTGGTTAGCCGTATATTTTTGGACTACTTTCAGTTGGCTGTATGGTCTAATTAGCATATTATGGTTTTATTTTTATAGATTATTTCTGGTGAAGAAAAATGCTTTTAAACAAATGTTTGGTAAGGAGTTTTGTAGGATGAAATTATTTCCCAAAATACGAGACTAATACATATTTCCTTATAAACTAATTTATTTATCCTATATCCAAAATCTGAAGAAAATCAGCTTTTGCATTGGTTTGTTTTTCATATGTCAAGACATAAGAAAATGAGCAATGCAAGCCAGATCTCATAATTCAATCTTGGTATATAAATCTAATTCCGATAGAGAATGGGACTAATATTTTCAAAAAATTTAACAACACAACTGAAAGTAATCCAAAAATGCAGCTAACCACTATTTGGTAAGGCCCACCAAATCATTCTCTAAATCTCAAATCCATTACTCGATATACTCAGATCACTCTGAGCCCCTTATGATCATTCCTTCGCCTGTGAATTTGAGTCCTACCTTGATGGAGTCTCTGTCTGCAGGCAGAACAGCAACAACACACGTAGATCAAGTGGTGGGAAGAAGGAAAAAGGAAAAAGAACTAGTTAGTTTACATAAAAACATGCATTTATCAAACCTGATCACTGCTAAATCATAAATGGTACAGATGTCGACTTTGCGATAAAGTTAATTATCAATACTACTCAACCAGATTCACAAAGGCCAATCTACCTCTGACACAATTTCGGAAACTAAAGCTGGATATTCCTATTTATATTCTTATCAACTTCCCCGCTTATGAAAGTGTTTATAATTATGCCTTAGCCAGAACCATAACAGTGAGATAACTGGCTGACAAATATTGCAGTGCTTCTAACATCAGAGATGGGAAATTTATTTCATGTGATAAATATCTTTTACCCCAGATTATAATTCATGGTAATGACATTGCAACAGGAGTAGGTAAGAGGTTTTAATTATGAACCACCCTGGTGCTAAAAGTAAATTCCCACAAAGGAAGGCTGGGAGAGACCTTTTCATTTGCTTTTCTACCATTAACTAATAAAAGCTATTAGTAAGCAGCATACAAACATATAGTCACATCAAAGGTATCTACATATAGTCACATCAAAGGTATCTGCACCATCATTTACTTTAGTGGAGGGAGGAAAACAACCTGAATAGCAGAACTGGTCTTTAAATCAGATAAGCACAAACAATTGTGTTTTTATAGAAAGAAGTGAGTTAATTTCATGCTTGTAATCAGACTGGATAAGAAAGGTAGTTATAGCAACAGATTCACTAATTTGGGCTATATTTCCTTAATTACTCAGACTACTAAAATTGTTTTCATACCTGTGAGATTTTTACTGTACTATATAGGCTGATCTGATTTATAAATAATAATTGATTCTATCAAACAATAAAGTAAGCCTTTATCAGTAAGTCTTTCCCCAAAATAGATTTGATGAAAATAAGCTATTAATGACACTCACTATTTCAAACACAGAGCATTGTGGAATTTCATTATTGATTTAGACTCAGGGAATATAGGGGATAGTAGCAAGAGATCAAAGGTAATAACTAAGAAACAGAACCCCTTACGGAGGAGGAGTGCATTAACTCTTGCCAACCACTAGGGTATCTTTTGTCAAAAGTCTGCTTCTAATAACTAATTTACCTTCCAGCAGAAATCCTTTGTTTAGTCAATGGTAAAATTAAATCCAGAGAGAAACAGAACAAACAATGGCATAAGCAGCAGGTAGGTAATGTCAGACTGACATCTCACAGAGAATGGCTCACCTCTTTGGTGATCACTGTCATGGTGCTTCTTCTCATCTTTAATTGGAAGGTGGGACTGGCCTCCCAGGGCACTGGAGAGGGCCAGAAGGCCGGCACTGCTACCAATGGATGGAATGGTAGGAGGCGGCAGCCCCGAAGGGTGTGGGGTCAGAGGCACAGGCAGAGCATGTCCATGTGATAAATGCTGGGCCTGGAGTTGTTGCTGCTGTGAGAAATGAGACAAAGATATTGAACTTGTTCCCTAAATCTGCACCTGCCCCCACCCAAATAAAAGGAGAGAAAAGACATACAATAAGATCATGGAAAACTCAGCACCCATGAAGGAAAGATTTAACCTTTATATAGATTTAAAAGAGGAGGGAGAAAGATGTTTAATGGAGAAATGTTGTCTTTTGACTTAGATTTGAGGATTTTACAATGCAATGTAAATAACTTAATTTTTAAATAGTGAAATTATCTAAGTAACTTTTAATAGCCAAAATTCAGCTTTCTTTAATAAAGCATCTGTGTTTTGTTCTCCAAAACATAAGGCCGCACCAACATGCATTTCTAATCAAAACATATACGTGACTAACTGTTAAAGCAGTTATGTTGAACAAAAAAAGCTGAAAACTGAGAAAATTAGTGTTAAACAGTTCTCCCAGAATCACTGCACAGCATGCAGTGTGAGTTAATTTGAAAGAGAAAACCTGAATTAACAACCCAGAGAAGGAAACTGGTTGCAGCCACCGTTTTAAGCCCCTTTAAGTGTCCTCAGCGGTACTTGAGCAAATTACTAAAGAAAATCTAATGTAGCAAGGCTTGGGTCCTCCTGTAGGCTTGCTCAATAATGCTGAAATAATTGGGCACTCTGTGCACGTTTAGTGATGCTCGAATGAAAAGCTAGAGCCTGCCCTTGTACTCTTCCCCGGCAGCCGCCTCTGTGTTGTGACAGGTTTATCTGACTGGGACTGTGAGGCATGCACCAGTAACTGTGCTGACAAGAGTTTAAAGTCATTTTTACCAGCACACTGGCAACACACGGAGAAAGCCCTTGAGAGGCTGGAATGGGAGTGCTTGACCTTAGCAGAGGCCGCATCTAGATTGAAGCTGCATCAAGCTTGGCTGTGGGCAGGCCTTGCTGCCTCTTCTAGTGGAAAGGGGGAGGGGAGAAATGACAGGAGGATGTTGAGTTAATATGTCCCTCAAAAGAAATCCCTTCAACTTGAGACCCTGCTTAACAATGTTCTATGAGAACAAGTGCTAAGAAATTCTCTAACTTCTGTAGTGATTACATTTTAATTAATGCCTTTAAATAAATTACCTGCCAGGGCCATCCTCTGATAGCCAATATAATTTCCTATAATTTTCTAAACAGAATTTCACAAAATAGCTTATTAAAAATATGTAGGGTGGCAAATTCTGCCTCCCTTCACTGGTAAGAAGGATCCTGAAATGTGTTTATTTTTAAAGAAAGTACTTGAAAGAAAAAAATAAGAATTTTTTTCTGCTCCCAAAATTACTTCTATTTCCTTCCTCTTCCTCTCTATATGGCTTCCTGTATCAGACTACAAAAGTGAAAGCATAGCACTAATTACTAGCTCTTTTCTCCAATTGACCTGCACCTATATTCTGGCTTCGTTAGTCAGGTACTATCACTTCTAAGGCAAGTTGACATACATAAGACGGAAAAATCAGTGCCATGCATGATCCAGATACTCTACCCTGCCATGCCCACACCCAAGACCTGCCAAAGCAATAACTAGCTGCCTAGTTCAAAATAATGTATTTCTTCATTTGTGTGGCCAAATTCATGTTCATAATTCTTTATGTACTGTTATTTACTTGGGACCAGAAAGTATGAGCACACAATCACAGTTTCTAAATGTGTTGAAAATAATGCCTATGAAGAAAACAAGGCCTTCAGGTAAATATATGGCAAATTTATTTCAAGACCTTGTTCAACTGAAATTGCCAGAAAATTGCTCCAATTTTCTTTCTCCTCTAAATCCCCTAATACTTTGTGTGTATGGATTGAGCACGTAGCTACTTTCTCAGACCAGAGTTCTATTGGCAAGCATTTATTAAGAGCCAGCATGTATGTCTCTCTGATCATCTTTCCTAGACTCTAAAGCTCTATGAGAACCTACATCTGACACAAACTCGAGATGACTAAAGGGCACTGAGACACTCATATAATATCTGAGCTATCTAAAAAGATACATCTATTTCTTTAGACATTAAAAAACAAACAAACCTGCAGCCAAAAGCAACACCTTCAGAGATACAGGTGTTTCACTTTTATTCTTTTCTTATAGCACAAAAAAATAAGCACCAACATTTCCATTTTTCTATCTGACCAGGAACTTTTCAAAGGCAAAAACTATACCCTATTCTGTCTGTTGCACATGCCATTCGTAGTGAACACTTTCTGGGATCCTCACTTGTGCTCTATTCTACCTCAAAAGAACTCTAACACTACCTTACCCTCTTCTTCCCTATGCTCTAGAGAAGGAGGCCCCCCTTTCCCACCAAGGCTGACCCTTTCTCACCTGCACAAGTGGGGTCATCTTTCCCCCTCCTTGTCTCATTGCTCCATCAGTTCTACATGTCTCTCCCCCATCTTCACTGTTCTGCCACTGATTGTGTCCTTCTGCTTGCAAGCTTAATACCAGGGTCCCTAACATTTTGCTTAAGATGAACTGCCTATCTAATGCCAAAAGAACTTGGGGTAGCCTTTTTCCAGGAGGAAAAAAAACTGTATTTTAATGAAATTTTGTGTCCTTCATTGCCCCTAAGAGTGACTTACACATTAATTAGCTCATAAATATTTTTAAATTTAATTAAAATAACCATCTTTTGCCCTCTCCAGCTTCTGCCATACACACACACACACACACACACACACACACACGAGGCCCAGTGCACGAATTCAGGCTGGTCTAGCTGGAAGCAGGGGACGCGGGAGGTTGGCTGGCCAGTCTCACCCCTGATCAGAGTTGGCCAGTCGGCCTTCCCCCAATCAGGGAGCAGGGGAGGAGGTGAGTGCTGGCCAGGGAAAGAGGTCGAGAATGGCTAGAGGAAGGAGCCTCCGGTGTTTGGCCAGCTGGCCCTGTCCCCTGGTCAAACTCCCGATCGATCTCCCAGCAGAGGGACAATTTACACACACACACACACACACACACACACACACACACACACACACACTCTAGAAGGCCAGTGCATGAAATTTGTGCACTCGAGGCAGGGGTTGGGAGGATCCCCTCAGCCTGGATTGTGAGAGAGCTCAGGCCAGGCCAAGGGACCCCACCAGTGCATGATCGGGACCAGGAGGGATGTGGAAGTTGGCCAGCCAGGGAGGGACTATGAGAGGGCTCCAGAGCGTGTCTAGCTCATCTTGCTCAGTCCTGATTGGCCAGACCCCAGCAGCAAGCTAACCTACTGTTTGGAGCATTTTCCCCCTGGTGATCAGTGCACATCATAGCAACTGGTTGACCGGTCAGCTGTCTGTCCCCTGGTGGTCAGTACATGTCTTAGCCAAGTGGTTGAGTGGCCTTAATATATCATTAGCATATTATACTTTATTTGAAAGGCCAACTGGACGACCAAACACTTTATCCTTGTCTTTGCACAGCCATACTTCTTTTAAAAGCAGATTACACTTTTCAATATGCCACTTCCTCTCTAACTCCCTGTAAACTAGATTTCAGGCCCACCATTCTCATAACCCTGATGACCATTCAGACAGCAATTCAGTTTCCTTCTCTCTGACAAACCTGCAGCCAAAGGCAGCATGTCCTCCTGCTGACTGGCTCCCCGACCTGCCTAGGGATCACTGCCACCACCAGGACAGCTCTGCAACTCTCTGACTGGGCCCCTTACATCTCCTTCTGGGCTTTTTCTTCTCCCGTTTACTAGAGGAGAACAGCTCTAAATCTTTTGCTCTTCTCCCATGCTCCAGTATCTCTGGTCTAGTTTCTTGCCAGACAGTTCCACTTGGCAGTCCAGCATTTTCTGAAAATGAAAATGTTTAACACAAATCCCCTAAGTAATTTCTACTGGGTCAAGGTATCTATCAGTCACCATCAATTCGTCTTTCTTTTGTGCTCCTCTACTCATAAACACCGACTCCTGTCCATTCTAAAATAACCTTTTATTTCTACTGCCACCACACTAGTCAGACCCTTATCATCCTATACTTTGATTACCACAAGTCTCCATTAGCTCATTTCCATTCCAATCCTGCATTATCATGGGAAATTTCTTTTTCAAAATTCATGTCATCTTTCCTCTTAGAACAACTTCTCCATTACTTATCTGAATTAAGTTGCACTCACCGATCCCAGCTCAGCTCATGTTTCATCTGTTCTGCAAAGACTTTTTCAAATACCCCAAGTGTCTGCTGTTTTACAGGGCTCCTGGTACCATTAACTGATATAAGCTGCCTTTTAATGGCACAGTTATCCATCTTTTTAAGAATAAGAAGACCTGACTTGCCAATAAGATTGCAAGACTCTGAAATGAAGAGACCAGTATCAGGCCTCTTTGCACCCCTGGTATCTAAAGCACTACTATTTGGTCATATGAATGTGTATTTAAAGCATTTGATGAATTAAATTTCTACTAAATATGAAGAGAGTTCCTGATTACCTTTTACCCAGCTAATGTTATCATTTTATATAAGCATATATTTTTATCAAAACTAAAAAATTAACATAAGTATATTATTATACTATTGATGATCAGATCATAAACTTTCTTCAGAGTTCCCCAGTTTTTCCACTGAATCATGCTCGAGGATGTTCCACTACATTCAGAGAGGTTCTGAGTTTTCCCTTATCATTCCAAAATAATCAAGACGTTTTCAAGATTTTATGAATGGCAATATCCATATAGTCAAATTGCTTAACAGAATACTCCTTGAGCTTAGGTGAGAAATAAATTGAGAGTGGGCTACCATATACCCATTCTACAAATCATCCATTATACATTAAAGATATCAACAAACAAAAGCACACTCAGTTGAGAGACCTATAGAAAAGAGCAATATCATATAAACTTATAAGATTAAATAGGTTACCAAAAGCACATGATAAAAATTAATACAAATACACTGAAATACTATAATGGGTTTTAAAATGTTTACATCAGTAAAAACAAACCACTTTCTGTATTCAGTGGTCATTTTTAAGCTTCTTTGTAAGTTTTCACCTTAGAAATGACCTT